ATAGCATAAAATGAATACTGCTTCTTTGCCTTAAATTACAATAAAATCTCATAAAACTTTGCACTTCCTTTATCAAGGTAGGTGATTCGCAGGAAACAGCAGTTTTAATCTTATCTTTCTTGATATGAAATTAAGAAATAAATTGTCACCATGAGCTACTACTCCTAACTCATAGAGCTTGAGAATTAGAAAACTCCCCAACAAAAAAAGGAAATGAGGACAGTAATGTATTAGAGTCATTGAGTGGTCAAACTGAACTTGATGCCTATAGAGAGGCAAATATCGCACCAGCAAGCAGGTAGATCAGATACGGAATGCAATGACGTCTACAAGTACAGAGATCAAGGAAGTCAAATTACCAAAAGGATGGGGACATGGTTCCATCTTGACTGGCTAATATACACCTACCAAATCAGACAGAGGTTGACATGGGGACAAAGTTCTTCTTGTCCCCTCCTGGCACCTCTATGGAACACAACCTTCAGGTTACCATGGCAGGTAATCAATATGTTAATCCAAACATGCTACTCTTTAACAATCTTTTCCTAATCAAATTCCACATAGGAAATAAAAATTGTTATGCAATGTTTTACTGCGAGTGAAGCACCAAATAGTCCAATCATAGAACTGGCAAAACATACCCAAAACAGCTTCTATAATGTGCACTGTTTCACTAATAACACCTGGGTAAAGATCTAAAATAATTGTGTATGCAATAGAAACTATGGTGAGATACTACAGGTCCTCCGAATGTTAATATGGCATTCACGGAGGCCTATTCATTAGCTTCCTCTGGTGAAGAGATTATCTTCCACTGTACAAGCCTTGTCTCAGGTACTTGCAGGGGACCTCTACACTAGGGGACTCTGCTCCTTCAACTAAAGCTGATATAAAGATTTTGATTAAGGAAACTAGGGCTATGTTTCAAGAAGACATAGTAGTGTTTTTGGAATAGCCAAATAGCTGCAGTGGAGGAGGATCTGAGAAGTACAAGGGTGGCTCAGACAACTATGAACACAGCCCTTAGGTCCTTACAAAAATGTTGAGCTGACCCGACCAAGTGCATGTCCCAATGGAGAATAGCACTAAAGCCAGGAGTGTATAACTCAGGGGTGTCCCTAAGATGATCACCAACGATGAACTACCTCACTATATCACACAGCTACTTTCTATTCTGCTGTCACCAATGTGTGCCAAACTGATATTGCTTGATCATTGCGTTCGTCTTCTAGGGTTATAAAAAGCTGCTCCAGAGGTATCAAGAGCTGTGTTTATCAAGTTTGTGCGGGACTCTCAAAGGGAATCCTAATGGAGAGCATCTTCTGTAACCTTTGAAGGTTGCCAACTTACCCTTTACAGGGACCTATCGCGACATACCAACTGGTGGAGACAGTCACTCTGACAGATCACTCAACTGCATAGAAAGCATAAGATATCTTATAAGTGGGGCCCACACAGATTCCTTCTAGAAAAAAGCGGTAAGACTAGGGTTGCCACCTGACCGGTATTTTACTGGCACAGCCGGTATTTGTGGCTCTGTTGCTGGTGCCGGTATTGCAGGAAAACCAGCAATGCAGGGACCGGTATCTCTGTCTGCTGGAACTCTGAGACGCTCTCCCAGATCTGCAAGTATCTCTCCCCATGCTCCCTGAGACAGACAGAGTGGGGAGAAATACTCAGGCAGAGTAGGAGATACATAGTTGCAGATCTGGAAGATCCTCTCAGATAGATATTTAGCTCCGCCCCCTTCCTCCTGCTTTGTCTAATCACACTCAGTGAGGAGTGCTCCTCTGAGTGTGCTGTGGCTGCCTCCTCTCTGGCTTCCCAGCACTGAACTGGTTATCAGGCAGAGCAACTTTTTACAGCTCTGCAGTGTTCACCCCTGCCCAGGGCCGCCATCAGGGGGTGACAACCGTGACTGTTGTCACGGGCCCGGCGGCCCTGGGGGGCCCGGACTGCTCTGGCAGTCCCGGGCCCCACTTTCCCTTTCTGCACACATAGATAGCGAATATCGCTATCTATGTGTGCAGCCGCGGGCCCCCAGCAACCTGTTACCGCAGAGGGGGGACAGGCAGCACACAGCTTCTCCTCCTCTCTGCTCTCTCCTCTCTTCTAATAACTCTTGCGAGACCCGCGGAGCGTTGCCATGGTAACCGGGTCTCGCGAGAGTTATTAGAAGAGAGGAGGAGAAGCAGTGTGCTGCCTGGGCCCCCTCTGCAGTAACAGGGAGCCGGGGGGACCCCCAACCGGACCACCACAGATGGAATCTCCCCCCTCCCTGGACACAGGTAAGCAGGGAGGAGGGAGGCACATTTAATTACTTTAATAGAAAATTCATGTTAAAATGCCCCTTTCTCCCCCTCCCTCCCCCCAGATCACACATTTACACCCATACACCGCATACACTAACACAACACACACACACTGCATACACTAACACAAAACACACACACACACACACTGCATACACTAACAACACACACTGCATACACTAACACAACACACACACTGCATTCACTAACAACACACTGCATACACTAACACAACACACACACCACATACACTAACACAACACACACACACTGCATACACTAACACAACACACACACACACTGCATACACCAACACAACACACACACATTGCATACACTAACACAACACACACTCTGCATCTTCTACACTAACACACACTCTGCATCTGCTACACACGAACACACTCTCTGCATTCACTACACATTAACACACACTCTGCATTCACTGCACTAACACATACACTACATTCATTACACTGACACACTCTGCATTCACTACACACTAGCACACACTCTGCATTCATTACACACTAACACACACTCTGCATTCACTAAACTATGCGCACACTCTGGATTCACTATACTGACACACACTCTGCATTAACTGTACACACAGCATCCACTACACAAACATCCTGTATTCACAGTACACACACTACATCCACCACACATTGAAACACTCTACATTCACTATACACAGACACTGCGTCTAATACACACACTACATCCACTACAGACACTGCATCCACTAAACACATTTCATCTAGTACATACAAACACTACATCCACTACACAAACACACACTACATCACTGTACACACTACTCAAATACACTCTGCGTTCACTATACAAACTGCATCCACTACACAAACACACACTCTGCATTCACTGCACAAACAGTATTTAATACACACAAACACTACATCCATTACACACATTCTAATTCACTTCCACTATACACACCGCATTCAGTCCTGCATCATTGTGAGCGGACTAGGTAGGGCGTGGGTGGGCCCGGGAGGGAGTGAGTGGGGGGGGGAGGGGAGGCAGACCATGTGCTTTGTCATGGGCTCCAAAATTTCTGATGGCAGCCCTGCCCCTGCCCCTTCCACAAGACACAGAGATATAAATTGTAAGAAGTCAGGTCCCTACAGGGAGGGTTTATAGAGGGACAGCAGACCTGCTCAGTAATGAAGATGGGAGCACTTAGGGACATAGAAAGATGTCAGTGTCTGTATAACTGTGTCTGTGTATGTCAGCGTCTGTGTGACTGTATCTCGATGTCTGTGCCTGTATGTCTCTATATAAATTTGTATGTCAGTATCTGTATGACTGTCATACGGAGAAATACAGGCGCAGCCATTCAGATACAGTCATACAGATACTGACAAACAAGGTCATACAGAGACATACAGGCGCAGCCATTCAGATACATTTTATGTCAATATCTGTATGACTGTATCTGAATGGCTGTGCCTGTATGTCTCTGTATGACTGTGTTCCTCAGTGTCTGTATGACTGTATCTGAATGTCTGTATCTCACTGTATGTCAGTATGCAACTTTCCTCTTCCAAATGTTATGCAACATCCTGTGACGTTGTTTCTGGTGACATCACGCATACATAATTAATTATGCAAATTAGCATGGCCAGTATTTTTTTTGCCAAGAAAGGTGGCAACCCTAGGCAAGACTCATCTTATAACTCACCCTTCTGAGGCACCCCAAGGACCGATCAGCAGAATCTACACCAGTGGTGAACCATCCTGTGTGGTCCGTGGACAAGATCATACCATTTGTGTCAAAAGCGACCTTGTCCAAGTCTAATGAAGATCCAACTGGAAGAGCGTTGCACAATTGTGTTTCTCAATTTTATCTTGTTTTTAGTTAATCTGATGTTCTGACTCCACAGGCTGATGTTAGTCATGTGGTTGCCTGCTTATTTCCATCTACACCTACCACCGGTGCCTACAGGTGCTTACTGGCACCAGCCACCAGGCTACATTTTGGCACTTTATTCTCAAAGATTGCATCCTACATCTATGTGTATCTTATTGCCGGAGGTCTGTTTGTTGTTTACACTGTTTGTTTGTTTGTTTTTATTGGTTGTGGTCATACTGTAATATTTTGTGCAAACAAGAAAAATATATCAGGGGGCAGATGGGCTCCAACATGGCAGCAGGGTTGGCCAGCACCTCCATTGACACCACTGAGACTCTCCCAGCATTGCAAGAAAATTGAGGTTAAAGAATTAAAAAACAAAACATTTTAATGGAAAAAAGGGGGGGGGGGGGAGTGATCTAACCCATTAAAAGTACACTCCAATTAAAACATATCTATATATATATATAAAATGTATTTTAATTTATGTGTTGCTTTAATTTAAGATGGATAATGTAAAATGCATTAACCCCACAATAATTTGAAAGGGGCCAGTTCAAGCTGGGGGTCTCCCAGCACACACCCGCTGGCCTTTGCAGGCTTCCCGCCTTTTTCTGACTACTAACTGCGCATGCGTGCCGGGCCTGAACACCCCCCCCCCGTTGGAGTGTCCGGGTGGGAGGGGTCTGTGAGTGACGTCACGCAGCCCGCTGCTGGTTCGCTCAGTTGCCTCTCCGCCGGCTTCGTTGGTGCAGCTGTACGCCGTCTCCTCCGTCCTCCCTCCCTCACTCCGTGCCAGACCGGCCCCGATGAAGATGAACAGCACCAACGGGACCAAGCGGGCTCGCCACGACAGCTCCCCGCAGAGGGACGACGGCTACCAGACCCCCGAGAAGCGGGTGAGAGTGTGGTCCCCGGCGGCGGGCGCGGATTACCGGGAGTGGAGCACGGAGGACGTGTGTCTGTTCCTGGCTGGCCACGGGCTCGGGGAGCTGCAAGCCGCCTTCAGAGGTACGGCAGCACGGTCTGCAGAGCACCCAGCATGGGCCATCTGTCACCTCGGGCTGTCACCGGGCACAGGGCACGGGGGGGGGGGGGTTACAGAGAATTTAATATGGCAATATCTCACATCTCAGGATAATATATATATATTTAATATTTATAGGTTAATATGTGGTTTAATTTAAATTTATTTTAACCTCCTTAAGGACCAAACTTCTGGAATAAAAGGGAATCATAAAAGTTAATAGCATAACTTTGAATATAATGGAAGGACATCTCAATATCATTTTATTTAAACTTTTTTTTTTTTTAAGTATTTTAATATTCATTACAGTTCAGGGTTTAGCAGGGGTAGGCACTGCACTCCAGATTTTGTGGACTACATATCCTATGATGCTCTGCCAGCGTTGTGGTTGGAAGAGCATTATGAGAGTTGTAGTTTGCAATACCTGGAGTGCCCAAGGTTGCTATAGTGCTTTTATATTTGAGGAGTTTGCCCTCATTTTTATATTTTTTGCTTTAAACTGTAGATTTTAATGTAAATGGGCACTTTTACAGTTATCGGTTAATAAGCCCGTGTGGGCATGTCTGGAGATCTTTCTCTATAGGGTGTGCCTTCGTGTGAACTGTGTGCCAGAGGGCACACTCTTTGCACTGTGTACAGAGGGTTGTCTCTGGCTTGACAGGGTCACCCCAGTCTGCACCTTGGACTGGTGGTGCCCGGTCTGCACTGCAAGTTCCTCTCTGTAGAGGGGTGTCATTTTCTCTGCTGGCTGGGCATGGTCACTCCAGTCTGCACCTTGCACGGGAGGCACCCTCTCTGCACTGCAAGTTCCTCCCTGCACAGTCTGCAGAGGGGTGCCGCTGTCTCTGCCGGCTGGGCAAGGTGACCCCAGTCTGCACCTTGCACTGGGGGTGCCCCGTCTGGACTGCGATATTCTCCATGTGCAGTCTGCAGAGGGGTGCCACTGGCTGGGCAGGGTCACGCCAGCCTGCACCATGCACTGGGGGTGCCACTGTCTGTGCTGCAGGCTGGGGATCAAGGACACTCCAGTCTGCATAGCATATCACTGTTATAGGGAGTTGATTGATATGTACTTTGCTTGTTATTTGTACTGCATATCTTAGGCTGACCGTAACAAAAGCTTGTTTAGATTTAGTATCTATTATGATAGGGTTTATTTTTATTTGTTCATGGGCACTGAATCACAGAAGTCAAATAATATTGTGTAGTTGCTAAACAATATCAGATGACCCTGGGTTTATCTCCAGATAACTCTCTAGAATACTTTATCAACTACAAAAAGTAGTTTTTTGGTTTTTTTTTTTCACACAGTTAAACTGGCACTGTCATGCTGAACTTATCTTTCCCTAATCGATTCTCCCAATATCAAGATCAGTTCATTCCTTCCGGTCTGCTCTAGTTTTCTTTAAAACCTAAGACAAAGTAGTGACTACTTTGTTTTATGGAGGTTTCCTACAGGTGACCAGCGGAGGAGCAAAGTGTGCTTAGTTTCCGGTGGTCATAGCAATTTTCCCACAATTCTCACCTTTGATCCGTGATCTCGCGATGCTTCCTGTCAGTATTCCCGAAGGTCCTGTCACTTAGGACGCCTGTGAAACTACCGAATGAGAACAGTTTGTTCATTCATGTTAGGATGCAATTCGGGACATTGTTCGGATCGGAATTTCATTAGAATGAAACTCCGATCCTGTTAGTGCTGCGGCTGCATCTTGCAATTCCTCCAGTATCAG